CCTGATGCGGGAGTTTTTTTTTTCTCCACGTTCTGTAGTACAAACGGCTTCATGGAGTAGACATGGAAATTATTGCTACTTCTAAATCATATTCATATGATGAAATGATTGGTTTATAGATAGTCACCGCGATTTCACCTTTGATTGTGAAAGACATTTTTTGGTAATAGACAAATATAAAGGCCATTATAATGATTAAAAATTATTTTTATCAAAGATTACAAACCTTTTTTTAATAGAAGCTAGCGTAATAATAACACTGCGTTACAAATGAAAAAAAAATGAGTAGGTTCTTTGAAATGACATGGTTTCTTCTTATACCTATCGTTTATTAAACAAACATGCAAATCACGTCTCATATTTCTTCCGTAAGAATGTGCCAAATTATATTAAACATTAAAAGGCCAAAACATATTTTAAAGAAATCTAATAAAACCAACCAAATTTTGTTTACATTATTAAAGTGTATGATTTAGGTAAAAAAAAAAAACTAAAAAACAACAACAATTTGAAACTTTAACTTTTTCTTTTGTGCTTTGAACGATCTTCTCGTTTGAAACGCCAACAGGAATCACCTAGCATAGTTGTATCCGACCGTCCTTGAAATACTTCTCTAAGCTCTACGTTATATGCTGGTGGAAACCAAGATTAGATGGAAAGAAAAATGAGACAGAGAAGACAGTGAATTTTAATGACATTCTGCAACTTTTCGTATGCCGTTAAAAACCCTATTAAAACTGCTTTCAGTGATAACCAGGCATCAAGTTCCTTGTTAGTAAGCTTTTTGTCAAAATTTGGATCTTTCATCAATTTGTGGTCCCACAAATATTCTTTCATTGAGTTTGGCATCACTTAACTTTGAAAATACTGTCTTTAAATATAAAAAGCCATCTCCCTCTTTATTCATAGCCTTGACAAAAAAAAATATCAAACCAAGTTTTATGTGGAGTGGTGGTAAAATACCATTTTTAGGATCTATCAATGGTATATTTTTCACATTAGATATTCTAAAAACAAACTCTGACCTTTCTGGCCATACTTTTCTAGTATAGTGCTTTCCTGTGGCTCTGCTGTCCCACATACAAACCAAAACAACAGTATTTAGTAAATCCACACTGTAATCCTAGCAAAATAGCTATAACTTTGAAATCAGGGCATATTTCCAGCTGTAATCTTTGAATTTTATTAAATTTAATATTGATTCCATATTATTATTATTAGTTGAATATAGTATTGGTACTGACGCCTTCTTGTTGCCATTGTGCAGCAATACAGCCTTCGGACTTGTTTTAGAACCATCAATAAATAAACGAAAGTCTTGTGTTTCGTAAGGAATATTCAACTCACTCATCAAAGTTTCTATATCGTTACAGTAACATATGTTTTCAAAATTTGAATTAAATGATGCCAGTAGGAGTACCAGTAGTAATTCAGCTTGACGGCAAATGGAATTGACATATTGTTCCCATTTAACCAAGATATGAGAGTAACATAGCACGAAACACAAAAAAACGTTTGTATCCATGGTTTATCTTGATTCAAAATAGAGTAAATACGAACTTCTCTTTTTTTCGGAAACATTTTTTGTTTGTGATTGTTTTAAAATTATTTGGGGTATTTAAGCAGTTGTGACGACCACTTAGTCCAGTATTCATGTTGGATTTCCAAATAAATATATACAAAGATGTCGACGTTATCATTATAATACTCGTAGAAACGATTACTAAATAAAACCAAATAATAAAAGAGTACAATACATCGAAAACGGTAACTGTTTCTTTTACACCTAAAGGCGAAGAATAGACGTGATGGATACCACATATGTTTGGAACATTTAATCTATGACTCATTACCTATTCATTTCAGCTAAAAGTAGTACAAAAATCGTATAACGCAGTGTAATTGTAAGTCGCAGTGGTTTTCAAAATTAGTCACAAGTGTGATTACAACGTCATTTACTAATGATATGACTATATTGATCACAGGTAATTTTGATTTTATCCATCCCTACTTACTCTGTCAAGAAAGTACCGGGAAAAGATCAATAATACACAAAATGTCTGATATCTATCCAAATTTATTTTATCACCTTCAAAGTATGCTCCTTCAGAAACAACATACTTACGCAAACGAATAATCGAATCATCACATCATTTTTTAAACGCTGTTTCCGGAATTGAGTTCAGTTCCCGCCGCGAATTCTCCTTTATGTCTTCTACCGCTTGAAAACTGGTGCCACGAAGTGGTAATTTGAGTTTAGAAAAAAAAAGAAAGTCGGCTGGAGCCATATCTGGTGAATATGGTGGTTGTTCGATGATATTTGTTGAGTGTTTGGTCAAAAATTCGTTCACAATGATGGCCTTGTGCGAAGGCGCATTATGGTGGTGCAAAATTCAAGAATTTTCTTTCCACAAATCTGGACTTTTTCGTCGCATTTGAAATCTATATCGTTACAGTAACATATGTTTTCAAAATTTGAATTAAATTTAAAAAAAATTAATTAGTTAAAAGTTGCTATTGTGTGTGTTGATCTATGACTTTAGAGTAGTTGGTCACTATATAAATTTTAAGACACGCAAAAAGTAAACAATATATACTTATTAGTACTTACAATTTTTATTATATTTTTTCAAAATACTCTCCATCACTCCATACAAATTTCCATCTGCCTAAACCAGACTTGGAAACACTTATTCTAGTCTGCCACCGACAGGTCAAAAATGGCTGATTCGTGGGCAGCCACTACAAACTTCAAACTAAGCAAAGCTTACAAGCTTTATATCTATAAATATCTTGAAAATGGTTGGGTCTGGTATATGGTATTTCATAGTGAAATCTATCAGAAATGATGGCAACTACAACCCCTTAAAGTATCTGGGTTGACTTACCTAGTAACCCTGTGTATGAAAAAGATGCGTTCCATTTCCAAATTTCGAGCACCTCAAAACGTATAACGGGTGTTATTATACATATCACAAAAAATGAAATAACAGATAACACGGTTCAATATACGTCGGTTAAAATAAAAAATAAAAAAAATAGTACGAAAATACAGAAATGCAAATTTAGAACAAAATAAATACAATAAAATAATTGCCGAATTAGAACACCATTGATATCATGAGTCGGTGAATTGTAACTACACGGCAGCGTCGCAATGTCGGCGTTATCAAAGCGACGCCGCCGCCGCGATGATCCGGTAAACTTTACATTCTTATTACCTACCTACTGATCACTTGACTTGCTTTTTAAAATCTATATATTAAAAATACGATTGAATTCACGTGTTTATTTTGGGAATGCTCGACTAGCTTCGAACCCGGTAGTACGTGTCACTCCTTGAAAAAGTAGGTAGTTTGGTTGTCTCGTAATCTTTGTACCGCCCTTACAAAAATTCGGCAGTCTGTAGGAAAAACACGATTGACTCCATACCTGTCTGTAAAGCTAAAGATGCGTTTTGATAGAGTTTCACATAAATTAACAGGATGGCAGGATATTCCTATTCCTATTTCCTATCCTATTTTATTGGGTTAACATAATCCTATTAGGATACCGATAACCCAATAAAACTAAAAGACTACACACAGAACTTAATATTGTCACTTTTCAAAATGAAATTAGCAGGACTCGTTACATTACTAAGTCTTGCGCACACGATAACATTAATTGTTCACACCATTGCCGTGTATTATGATGAAAGCAATAAGACTAAACAATTATTAACACAAAAAAACTTTTCTAAACAAGTATGTATCTCATGAGCAACAACAATATTATTATTACGGTTATTTGTCGTGAGCGCAAGGGTACAGAATAGCATAACACTCGCCGGTGGCCAAGGGCCGACTGACTGTCCTTACTGGATGAACTAATTAAAACCGCGTGTCCTACATCGTGATGACACAATAATCAACATATTTCGTTCGATTCGAGTGTAGTAAAAGCGGCAACGTGTGATTACCGCGCCGCGTATACAGCTGATCGCCGCCTGAGGTCAATGTATTATGACTGCATGTACACATGATGTTGCAAATTACGAAAACAAAAAAAATGACCTGTTTCTAAACCTCTGAATATTTTTTTTCATATTTTGCAAATCTTCTAGAAATAAAGTGCAGAATATGTGGTGTACAGATTCGTTAAAACATAAGTGACATGCTGTATAGGTGACCTACGTAAAAAAGTATTTCAAACAACTTTTTTTGTGACATAGTTTGACTATACTACAGAACATATTTATATGCAATTTAATTATACAGGCCCGCTTCGTTCCTGCCGGCCATTTCCACCCGAGACGAACGTACGGCCGAGTAAGAACGGAGCGGGCTTTGTACCCGCATTTTAAACCTCTGATATCTTCTAAAAAAAACATTTAATGATATGCTCTAAGGAGCAATTTTAATCTACTTTAAATGCAAAACGTATCTAAAGTATTTAATTGGATAAAGAATAATAATATAATTTTTAAAATAGCTTCGTAAATAACCCATTTTTTGTTTGTAATATTTAAAAGATTAAAATAGTCACTGTGGTTTATCCTTAGGAGATATACATATACCATCGGGGACTTGTTTGTATACCTTTTCAAGATATACAATTCCGTAATACATTTTTAAGGTTTAGCCAGCGTTTGCGCACAAAAATATATTTTTACAACAAATCTATGAAATTCTCGAATTTTCTCTACTATACTATTGGTGAAAACCGTATTAAAATCTGTTGCTTATTTTAAAAGATCTAGGCCAGCAAGAAGTGTCGGAAAAAGTCTTGTAACACATTTGTCGGTTTCGCTCCTATCCGCTTAGCACACATAAACAAATTAAAATGTGCAACACACACATAACACAACACCCCTTTTTTTTTCGAGCGGAAATTCCCACGGATACCACCTATCGGTGGCATGTTGGTCTCGAACCGACTAAAACTGGACGCCGTCTCGGGTAAACACAACACTCCTACAACTCAATAATTATTTCCATTTTGTGCTTACAGAAATCAAAATGAAAATCATTGGATTAAGCAATCTTATACGGAATGAGGAAACAGAAGAATGCAAGTTACAAAATTGTAATCTTGTGGTAGACGCCCACAGCTTCTTTTATAATGCGTACGAAAAGAGTAAAATATCTTACGTTTTTGGTTGTGATGCTAAAGAATATGCTAAATACGTGAGAGTTAAAATGTTGCTCAAATTCAAAAGAGCAAACGTAAAATGTTATTTTATATTCAAAGGTGGCACTAGCGATATTGATGAGAAAATAAACAAAACTAAAAGTCGAAAATTTGATTTTGAGTCTAATCATAAATTCATACCTCCCATATTTATGAGAGAAGTTTGTCAACAAATGATCGAAGAAGCAGGTTTTACCTACACAACGTCTATTACTTCAAACACAGATGACTGTGTTGCATTGGCTGAGGCTTTAGAGTGTGCAATTTTATCCAACAAATTTGAGTATTGCTTTAAAAAGGTACCATTCATACCAACAAACACATTAAGATATTCTCATTACGATAACTACATCATGGCCGGACAATATAAGCTTCAAAATTTTCTTAAAAAACACTCTTTAACAGAAAGAAAATTTGCCATATTTATTACTCTATCTGATTTACATGTTTATGAAAAAAAACATTTTGACGATTTGTTAAAAACATGGAATGTTTCTGATGAAAACTTGGACGAGCAAAATAAAAAACTATTAAAGTGGCTCTCGGATCATACCGAAGAAGAAGCTCTGAGTGGTGTCTCCGAGTTTCTCGGAAATGACAATAAAAAATTTAATGATCAAATGCAAAACCTTTTAGACAAAATTCACCAGAGCGAGTGGACCATCGCCGCGGATTATCTATTTAATGACTGCAGACTAGATGTGTTGACACCTGATCCTTGGTGGTTCGAAAAAGGGGTGGTGTCGCAAAGCATAGCTATACCTTACATCGATTTGTACAATCATAAAACAATATCTGGTTCCACTGCCATAGAAAAGAAAGACTCTACAGACAGCATCATGGCTGCTATAAATATTATTGTATATGCATATAGTTTGCTCACGAATTTCCAACAAAGTGAAATTACTATATTTCAAGATTCAGATAATATCATAAAAATAAATACTAAGGAATTTAATGTCAGAAAACCAGGTTTCATTTGCAAGGAATCGGTGTTTGAGAAGGGTTGGAAAGTTGTACGACACTTGAATCTACTTGAGTATTTTTTAAGAGAGAATAAACTGAATTTAAACTGTAAACACGAAATGCCATTGGAATCTAGAGTATTTCTATTCAGCTTAGCATATTTTAGTCGCAAAAAGATGGCCCAGAAAATAGATGTAACAAAGGAAGTTAATTGCTTTATTTTGTATTATTCAATCTCGAATAAGTTAAGGATCTTTGAGCTTCACAAATTAAACATGCGTCCAGCACTGCAGGTCGAGGCTGAAAATCTCATAGAATTAACAGATAAATATTTCAAATTAGAAGAAAATGAAGAAGAAGAAATATTCGATGGAGGGAAGTTGAAAACTTTCGTGGAAATCCAGTATTGCTTATTGCACATGAATTACTTGAATACTTTATGTGGAGAAAATCACTATCCTACATTGTACCACAGATATATTAATGGCCCTTTTGTGTACAAATTGTTGAAAGCTATGGAAAACCATAATTTCTATGACTTTCTTGAATCACATTTTCAATTGTGTCCATCCGTTCTGAGTCATGTACACTTGCTTCTAAATTGTTACAATAAAATTTTGAACACCAGTACGCCAGTAGAAAATTGGCGTATTGTGAGACATTAAAAATCTGTTGATTGTTAAAAGCTTTGATGTCAAGACGATCAAAAGTACTTGAAATGTAAACGTTTGAACATTCACGTAATCATTAAAACTGCCATAAATGCGTTGCGAATTAAAGGCCGTTGTCAATAGCTATGGTCACATTTAAATTGTTCGATACAGAATCAGTTCTAATTATATTTTGTAATAAAGCGATCAACATTTAAAGCATTTATCTTTCACGTATAATAATATGATTCCTTGTTTTGTGCAACTTTTTTTTCTTTTTATTAAAAGAATATTTTTAGACAGTAATAATTTTAAAGCAATTTTTATAGTCAAGTTTAAAGTTATTGCTTACGTAACAATAAAATAAGTATTATATATATATAAATGTGTTTTCTTCTAATATTAATTATATGTATGTATCATAATACGGTTGTAGTCGTGAGTATTCGTTGTATGATATACTACACTATACTAGATACGGGTCTCTCCCTTTATCAAGGGGTGTATGAAGGAACCTACCGCGATGGTGTCGGGCAAGTCGCAGTTGTTGATCTTCCCCAAACTTTACATATGACCGGCCTGTAAGTGTAGTGATCACTACCATGACTGCTAAGCCTGAGGACATGGGTTCCCACCCAGTAAATAATTGTGTGATGAGCACTATCATTTTTTTTGTGTCTGGGTGTAATTCATCTATAATATGTATGTATGTATGTAGACGGGGATGGTTAGCGCTCTTTGGAGGAAGCCTTCGTTCAGCAGTAGACGGCGACAGGCTGATGATGATTATTTTTTGGTTTGTGATGTTAACTGGTAAGCCGTGTCGTGTTTTCGAGTCCGTCGGACAATTGTTTTGATGAGAACATGTGATTCCTATCTGATGATCTATCTGCTCCTCTGCCCCTATGTCATAAAAAAGTTTAGTCAAGGTAAAGAAAACGGAATGTCGCTACCCTAATTCATCCCGTGGGTGTCGTAAGAGCCGACTAAGAGCGCTAAACAACGCAGGACACCAGCACTGCAAAAAGAAGGAAAACTTGACACAAACCCTTTTTTTTTTTTTTTTTTTTAACGTGTGGAAATCCCCTCGGACCGTCACCCCTCCGGGGTTTACGGCGGGGTGGTGTGTCGGACTCGGACCGACTAAAACCACACGGTGTGCCACTCTACGCCTGTAACAGGAGGGATCCGGGAACAGCTGTTGTTAAGACATCCGGACCCCTCCTAGCGCCAGCCCGCTCCTGGTGCGGGCTCCGTCTCGATGTTGTTCCTCTCTTTTTAGGCGACGTCCGGCACACGCGGACGCCGCCCCCTCGCGGCTGGCCAAACTAATGCGGGTGGAGGGGAAACCCACCCCGTCCACCCGCGGCCACACTCAGGGCGGCATGAGGCTGTACCCTATACCAACCCGTATGGCCAGCGTGGTATAGTAGGCCAAAACCTCCTTTCTAAGGGGAGGCCTATGTCCAGCAGTGGACTATTAAGGGCAGTTGATGTGATGATGATGTGAAAGAAAACGAATAAAGTAAGAAAGCATAAGGTTAGGGTTCGATCACCACATAGAACAACACTTCTGAGTCTAGGTGTTCTTTGTGGCCGTTTCATCAATGATTACAAAGTCCCCTTTTTTTTTCCGTGCGGAAATCCCCTCGGATACCACCTGTCGGTGGCATGTCGGACTCAAACCGACTAAACTAATAGCCGGGGAACCAGGTATACCCTAGAAAGGAAGTCCCTGGTGCGAATTACAAAGTCTCCTGCTACACATAATGTATTCCTTATGCGGGAGTTGTCTTTTTATAGAACAAAAGAAATTATAATGAACATAAATAGTATGAAATACACGTTTTAGAGTACTAATATATTTATAAAATAATGTTGCATAAATTAAAAAAAAGTTATAATCAACAAACTTTATTAATTTAAATAAAACAATAACATTAATTAATATTTACGCCCACCTAAACCTAATCCTCGGCCCAAGGGCGATGGTCCAACCATTCCAGAACCTAATGCAGCCGAGCCAATTGGAGATCCAGCAAAAGCTCCTGACGGTGGGATAACTTCAGAACTTATACCAACAGCACCTCCACAAGAATGAGCTATATTTCCAGCTCCAGCTGATGGTAAAGATCCTTCCAAGGCTACAGTCCCCAAGAAAGGAAGTTTCCCATCAATGATGAGGGGCCCTTCAATTGCGAGTTGATCTGAGAGGACAGTAACGCCTGTGGGAGATATTGGTGATGTACTTCTGACAGCAAAACTCCCTCCTGCAGCAGAAAGTTCTGGAGCGTATGCTAGTGGTGCTGGCCCACGGCTGCCAATACATTGGGCTGATATGCTCTGAAAATTATAATAATCAAATTACATCATGAGATTTGAAAAAGGTTGGTAATCGAAACAGTTTGTTTAAGGATTTCCTTAAAAACACGTTGTCCCGATTACTATTCATTATTTAATTATTATGATTTACTACAGAAAGTGATAGATTAGAAAATCGCAAAACGATCTCTGAAGTATTTTTTGAATGATATCAAAAAATATTTCAGAGGTCGTCATGCAATTTGCAATTATTTGGTATTTCCACTAGGCATAAATGTTTGTTAATATTATTTAACGGGAATTAACGCGATCTCTTATTTAGGGTATTACATACCTCTGGTTTGCCTGACGTTTCGACCAGGTTGCACCGGCCGTGGTCACAGGCTGACTCAGCTGTGACCACGGCCGGTGCAACCTGGATTATCATGGAACGCGAAAGTTTAAAAGTTAGTATAAATGTTTGTAGCTCACGTTACAAAGATATACTCTCACGATAGGTACTAAGTACATTCTTTTAAATTGCCTGATATTTCAACCAGATTGTACCGGCCCTGGTCACAGACTGAGTCTTAGCACCTATCGTGAAGGCATTAATTCCCGTAAACCGAATTATATCAGTTAATCAGCCTCTTGCAGGTTTCTTTCCATATCCAGTCCATTCCATTCTAACCTAAATAAAAGACCTAGTCTGTGTGTATTTCACATTTACTCGATCGTCAAGGTGACAGCGTTCGGCGCTGCGATTGGCCCGCACTGAAATCTCCACCAATCGCAACGCTAAACGCGCTCGCCGTCAAGAGCGAGTGAAATAAACTCCCAGGATGCCCTCAGGTCATCCGTCCTTCTGGCTGAGGTTGACTTGATTCGTGGTTGGAAACTAGGATCCGTTTGCTTCAACCCATCTATACTTTGGCAGAGACGAAAAAAATAGAATAATTTAAGAAATCAAATATTACCTGTATTAAAAGAAGAACGCAAAAGACGTTCGAGGTTAAAGTTATTGAAATCATTGTTGTTTAATTGGTTTCTGGGCTTACTATGCCAACTGGCTTCAAACCAAGCCTTTTATAAGAAAAATAAACTCACCGATGTCTTATCTATGTATTTTGTTTTAGAACAACTTATCAATAAATTATTTAATAATTAAGTAAGCTGTAGTTTTGTAATAACTTATCTATAAAACATAGGCAAGGTATTACGGAAGTTATAAATTAGATAAGCGGTATTTAGTCTGTGAATGATAAAAAAACGATAATAGAATAGTTTCAGCAATAAGAAATCGGCAAATATTAGTTTCAGCGAATAAATTTGGTTTTATTATATGATGGGACTACCGCCGCCAGTCAACATCTGGAACTCAAGAGTCAAAAGTGTGCTGATGCCCTTTATGATACATATAATGCCCTCCTCATTAGACACATCAGACCGGCTGTTGACGTAGCGACACGTCGCCTCGCTCTGTCATCTTTACATATTAAAATTGAAGTCTCTTTTTTCTCTTGTACGCTAAGATCTTTCAATATACGCAGCAGATTTTAAAACGGTTTTCACCAATAGAGAGTGATTCGAAAGACAAGTTTATATGTATAATACATGCATAGTATAGAAGAGCAAATCCGAGAATTTCAAAGATTTGTAATATGAAGTTGTAAAAACCTTATGTTTGTGCGCTTACATTGCAAACGCGGGCTAAACAATGCTATGGCTATGGCTGGATTATTGCTATACACTTTAGATGTAACGTAACCCCAAAGAAAATAGTCTAAGGGTGTTAAATCACACGATCTTGGTGGCCAACTGATCGGTCCATTTCTCGAAATTAACGACTCACCAAACTTTCCACGCAATAATTCCATGTTCACTCGAGTAATGTGAGATGGTGCACCGTCTTGTTGAAAATAAAGGTCGTCTGCATCAATATCATCAAATTCCGGAAAGAAATATTCGGTTAACATCGAGTTATAGCGCTCGCCATTCACAGTAACAGGGTTTCCTTCGTCACTTTCGAAGAAATTTTGGACAATTTCCAAGCGTTGGTTTAAAGTGAAACGTGACATGATAATATGGCAAACCTTACTGAAGACAAATGTCAAAAGACGTCAAAGATCCATCATCAAACATGGCCGCTATGAGCTGTCAAAACCAGGTCATCCCTATTGGTAGACCCAGTATATACAACAAAAAACTTTTTAAGTTGCTTTTTAAGTTGTTACACAAACTACTACGCCATCCGATCGTCTAGTGATGAAAAACTCAAAACACCCCCAGCGCATCCCGTTTATCCTCCCAGGCACCAAATATACTTTCCAGAAGTTCAACACCAGCATCACTTGTCGAGCGACATCTTCTGAAGCCAAATTGTTTTCTGTGTAGAATATTGTTTGCACTAAAGTGAGTTTGCAGCTGGTCTAGTATTAATTTCTCTGAAAATAACACTGAAATTATAGACCTATTATAATTTATAGGATCAGACGTGCTACCCGCCTTATAGGAATGCTCTTACTATGTTTCATTAAATCAGGAAATACACCACATTCAATGCACTTATTGAACATTAAAGCCAACTCTGACGCAACTACGCTAAAAAGCAGGAGCATTCCGTGCTGGCCGTGCGACGCGCTCTAGCGCGCGCGCGCCCTTTGGTGGTAGGGGACACCGTGGTTCCCACACACCTAGATCTATAAGCCGTAGATCGCACGGGGACCGGGTAACCTTGAAAGAAATCCCTAGAACAGACCCCGACCTGGTTCCCCGGCTATTGATACACAAGACGGCATGCGGCTTTTAGTCGGTTCGAGTCTGACATAACCACCCTGGTCGCCCGGTGAAGGGTTAGAAAAAGGAGGAATTGGAACTGATAGCATCGTAATCTTTTATGTAATCTAATTAATTATGAAATTTATATTCTTACCGAAAGTGGCAATATAATATTAAATAATATTGTAACATGTAGATAAAGAAATTACCAGTATTAAGTAATATCGATTACTCGCCTTATCAAGTTTACATGTGACAAATCGATTGTGTAAACACATCGATATATAAGAAAGAAATTATCTTGCGAATCATCATTTACGTTTATCTAATATTTTCAACATGTATTGTAAAGAAGCTTTAGTTTTTTATTTTTTGTTTATAATTCAGGTAAAACATTTTTTTATATAGATAATAATAATCTTTTTATAAATGTGAAAACTGTAGTTAGGGCATCTAGTTTATCATCATCATCATCATCAACAGCCTATACTAGTCCACTGCTGGACATAGGCCTCTCCTTAGAAAGGAGGTTTTAGCCTACTATACCACGCTGGCCAGACGGGTTGGTATAGGGTTTGTTTCAAGTTTTCCTTCTCTTTGCAGTGCTGTTGTAGTTTATAATAACTATAAATAATTTAAAACTTGTTTGTCATCAGTAGGCGTTTAGGCGGGTTTATACAAATGCTATGTACGGAAATACTTAGAACTGGGTTCTTAGAAACGTCGCCGGCGGCGGATACGCGTCGGTCGTCCTTGCGCTTGCGCTTTACCTTGCGCTTTATTTATTGTTTCCTCCTCTCTTTAAAAAATAAGCAGATATGGCAACGATATAACTTGCTATCAGAACATTAAGCCAAGCCATGAAAGCGTTGAGGTCTTACAAAAATGATCTCTTATATATATTCAAACCCAACAAAGAGATACAAAAAAAAATCGAATTATAAATGCTAGCTTATTCCTGGCTTGTTCTATATGGTATTCCAGATTATTATCTACCTATGTGTTTATGTCATCCAGATCCATTCAGCTGTCCAGACGTATTTGATTCACAACCATTCATATAGCAAGTTGTCAAATATTCAATTAGAATATTATTTCTTTACAGATCGCCATTACATTTCCAATCGGTCTGCAAACACCTATGAACAATGTCAATTCCTTCAACCAGAAGATACTACCAGAATCTGTGGCCTCTGCAACGCCGGTAATCACCGAAATTGTACCTTCTCTGCAGTTCGGTGAAATTACCGTCGCTGGTGATTTACCTGTAGGGGGTAGTATAAGGGTGAAGGGATGCTTCCCGGTGTACGGTACTGTAGCGGTGGATGGGGGGCTACCGTCTGCGGGGACGGCTATCGTGAACACTGGTGGAGGTGTACTAGCTCAAATTGTTTGAATTATTTTTAATAAATTGTTTGTTTTTGTTGTTGTTTATATGTTTTGTTTTAATTTCTAATATTTATTGATTTTTATCTGACTGCGCTGGAAGGAGGGTTGGGTTCCTTTTGGGGTCGAAATTGGTTTTGAGGGTCGTCGAGGTCTAAATTTTTTTTTTGTTTTTTATTGATGGCACAAGGTTACTGTTCATATAAACACAGTAACAGTGAGGAAAACCACAGGTAGTATCACACTGCCATCACGTGTATGTAATACAACGTAGATTAAAAAATGTATACATGGTATTTTTATTTATAAACTTTGTATTATTTTCTTATAAACTTTGAAAGGTAAACCTTTTTGAGAAGCGTTTTACATTGCAGTGGATTCTCTTAGAGTTTATCTACAATGTTGTTTCTTTAGTTCGTTAAGTAGTTGTGGTAAAACATATTGCCAACGACGCTTACCATGCATGATGGTAGTACAAACAACGGTAAATATAGCAAGCTACGTAGATTATTTAATCTTAATCAGGCCAAACCCTCCTTTCTAAGGAGAGGCCTTTTGCCTTTTTTCATGCGGAAATCCCCTCGGATACCACTCGGATATCGGTGGCATGTCGGACTCGAACCGACTAAAGCCGCACGCCGTCTCGGGTACTAATAGCCGGGGAACCAGGTATATCTAAGGAGAGGCCTATGTCCAGCAGTGGACTGTTATAGGCTGTTGATGATGATGATGATTCTAAATTTTGATGATGTTATGTTGTCAATTTCATCGCAAATATTGTCTTTATCTTGTTATGTATGTCTATGATTTTACAGTATTTGTACAGTTTGTTAGTATCATTTGTATATTTATTTCTACATATTATTATACATGGAATTTATTATACACTAGCTGAGACCCGCGGTGTTACCCGCGTTTGGTGTTATAACCGCGGACAACGCCGCGGGGCGAAACTAGTCTAAAAAAAGTAGCCTAAGTTACTTTTTATGTCATCAGCTATCTGCCAGTGAAAGTCCCGTCGAAATCGGTCCAGCCGTTCCAGAGATTACAGGGAACAAACAGACAGACGGACAGACAGACAGACAAAAATTTTAAAAAATGATATTTTGGCATATGTAACGTGTAAACATACATATGCATTTAGTAAAAAGTGGTTATTTTAATATTACAAACAGACACTCCAATTTAATTTATTTGTATAGATAGCTAATGTCATATAGTTTATAATAATTAATTGTACTTGTACTTTTTTTAAATACAACTCCCGCATTAGGAATACATTCCTGTGTCGCGGGAGACTTTACAAACATAGATGAAACGGACAAAAAGAACACCCAGACTCCGAACAATAATTTGTGAATCACACAAAGTGTTGTTCAATGCGGGGATCGAACCCAACACTCAGCGCAGTAAGAAGCGGCGAGGTGACCGCTTAAACCACTACGCCATCCGTGCAGTAGTAATAATAATAATAATATACCACATTTACACAACGCCATCTAGTCCCAAACTAAGCAGAGCTTGTACTTTGGGTACTAGACAACTGATATAAATACATATATACTTTTTTTTTGTAAATACATACATACGAGTATTATACATAGAAACACCCAGACCAAATCAAACATTAAATGTTCATGCACACAAATGTTTGACTTGAGCGGGAATCGAACCCGCGACCTTTAGTAGATATCATTTATGTATGTATTCTATGTTCTAACATAACTAAAATGCAGACCGTAAGACCGTATTTTATTATAGAATCTACCAATGCATTTTATAACACTCTCAGAGTATGAAATGGATAATTTGAATTTAAGCAGACACATTTTCCATAATATTATTCTTAACTTATTGCAAACATGGTCCAGTTAAATTTGAGATACCGAGGCCGAGATAAACGTGCTGAGATACTCTTTCCAGTACTGGACATGTTAGTACAGATGGGTTATGGAGGCATTGATAGTGGTACGCTCTCATGATTAGCTTCGAAATAAACTTTAGGTATGCGGAACGAATGTGTATAACTTTTGTCATTTCGTAGTTTATAATTAAGCCCACACACATACATAGTAAATCAAAGGTCTGTTGCATTTTATTTTGTGCTTGTACTGCATTTTTGTCGGTCATTATTAAACATGTGTCATCAGCATTTGGTATACAGAACCCTCATTGAGTACATTACACATGTCTTTGCAATATAATACTCGTAAGTATTCCCTCGGGCCAATCACTGACCCTTGGTTACTAAACAAGTTTGAAGTTACTAAACACATTTTCTGTTTTTACAGTAGTCTGTCGGTTAGAATGATAATTCTTTAGAAAATGCAGAATAGGGCCTTTTACACCATTTTGTGATAACTTGGAGTACATAGTAAAGAAATTTAATGTTTCAAATGCCTTACTGAAGTCAAAAAAAAACAGTAACTACATGATTTTTATTATTTAAACTAGCTGGCCCGGCAAACGTGGTTTTGCTATTTACATTATTTCTGGGAAATATTGAAAAAAAAAATAGGGTTGGGTCACCCTTGTCATTCAGGGGTACAAAAATAGATGGGGGCCCATTCTCAGACCTACCCGATGTGCACACAAAATTTCATAAAAATCGGTCCAGCCGTTTCGGAGGAGTATGTTAACTAACATTGTGACACGAGAATTTTATATAAAAGATAAGTAAACACTTATCTTATATATAAAATTCTCGAGTCACTATGAACTAATGAAGTAAACTCATTTGAGAATTTACATAATGGTTGGGAAGTGTTTTTGTTTTGTAAAATACTAAACATAAAATACTTTCCAAAGTATTTTTCAATAATTTTATCTATATATGAGAGAACTGTAATCGGTCTGTAGTTATTTATGTTCTTGTATATGCCCTTAGTATCTATAGACCTTATAATTCCAATTTTTAGTTTATCCGGATGCACTGACTTGTAATACAGATATTTATTAGATGCGTAACATATGGGTTATCGTATCGTAATACGTTTTATGTGAGAAACAACAAACAATTCCCTCAAAACCTGGACTTTTTTACTATTTAAATGGTTAATTATGAAGTCAATAAGTTAATTTCTAGCTTTGTTTAATCTCATTGTTAATTGGGGATGATTTACATATGTATTTTCCTCAAATAACTGTTTACAGGAATAGCAGATATTATCTATGTTAGTTCTAAAGCCCGTTGCAAATTTATTTACTAAGTCTTCCAAACTATATTTACTAAAAGTTTTAAATCTTATTTCGTCAACAGATTTTGATAATTTGCCACATAGTTTGTTTATAATTTGAGATACTTTTGTCGGATTGTGGAAGTTACCAATCACATCTTTTTATACTTTTATTTCTTAATTGGTTTATATATTTATTTCTTTATTTATTAAATAATAGTTTATGTGTCTTGTTACTCATGTCACACCTGTCACACATCCAGGTTTTAAGCTTTAAGCAATGAGGGTTTTAGATACTTTTTTAGATACTTTTTTTAAATACTTTTTTTTTTTTTTTTTACTTTTTTTACTTTTTGGCGCTTCGTATGCGTCAGGTCCAAACAGCTGTCAGATAGCACAGATTCTTACCGAACGTATAATTTTTTAGTGAAATTCTATGTATTTGGAAGTGTTATTGAGTTTATTATGGATTACGGCCAGATAAAGGTTGCCGAACTGAAGATTGAGCTCAAAAAGAGAGGCGCAAAAGTTTTATTTGCACACAGAGGCACTGCACAACACTGTGGCATTTTAGAAAACAATATTCCTTTTGTAACGTTTTTAAGAATGAATAAACCAAAAAAATGATCGAAAACTACAAATCATGTATGTGTTTTGACAGGTGGTTGGACCTGACGCTACAGTGCTGCCATCTCACGTGGAACATTTCAGAAAACCCTCATTCGTAACTCTTAGTACACATATAATAACATTATCTCGTCAACCAAATGACATAAACTGCGCTTATTCATACTTTGTTTATAACTGTAAGTACATCTATCATATACATCGTTAAATTTGTTTAAATAAATTCTAGTACCTCATTACGATCATCGTAAGCGCCGGGTTCCAGTCAATCTCGTGCATTAAACTATGCACCTTATTATTGTCAAGTTTAAGTATGGTTCGGTTATTACATCCTGTGTACGTGTTTTCATTGATTATAAAACTAGTTATAAAGTGGTCGGCCAATGCATTGTTTATTATTGCCGTTATAGTTCATGTATTGATGCTAACTGCTATGCACTATTGAGTCGCGGAAGATATGATCAATACAGGTGATGAGTTTGTTTTTTAGTTATATAGGCGTATATTGACTGATTCCCTGCTCCAGTCCCAATTCACTTAATTCTTTTCGCTAATTTTGGACATATGGACAATGTTCATGTCGCCTAGTAATAGAAACTTATTCTTCTTCTCTGATGCAGAAATATATTGCGATAATACAGAGATGAAAAGCGTTTTATTTAAATTAGGCGGTCTGTACACTATACACACATCAACAGCCTTTAACAGTCCACTGCTGGACACAGGCCTCTCCTTAGAAAGGATGTTTTGGCCTACACTACCACGCTGGCCAGACGGGTTGGTATAGGGTTTGTGTCAAGTTTTCCCTCTCTTGGCAGTGTTATTGTCCTGCATAGTTTGCTCCCTTAGTCGGCTCTTACGGCACCCACGGGATGAATGGGGGTGGTGACAATCAGTATTCCTAATCCGTCACCACACAAATGTACACACGTCCTTTTGTAATTATAACTTGTAATCATCGTACTTGAGACACATTCAAAGTTGCGAGTATGCGTGGGGTTTCTGTCAAAAAAAAGCCTAGTAAGTAAAAGCTAATACAGCAATACTTAGATAATGAACACTAATTACAAACTATTGACAAAATTCATGATTGCCATTTGAATATCCCATTAAACAATAATTGAATAATACACAATGCGTAATCAATAATGAACTTATACTCGTAATACCAAAATGAGAACAAAGGTTCTTTAGTGTTGTGTTGACATTGTACGAAATGATAATTATTTGCATTAGCTAACCCAATTTACTTTTGTATTGTCTATGTGAACGACATTTAATATCATATTAACTTCGCTAGTTAATATATATATAGATAATTGATATTTACAGACATAGAACAAATTATCGGGGTCATCACATAATTATCATGTCCAGGGTAGGAATCGAACCCACGACCTCCGGCCAAGGAAAACTAAAAGAAAACTCAATATTAGGATAGAACATATATGTCCACTCGGCCTATGCTGGTGCAGATAGTTTTAAACGTGACATATTGTTTATCACTTGCTGATATCGGGAAATAATGAAACCAATATTTAATTTTACTAATACATATATTTTAATTACATAATATGTGATATTTTGACATAATAAGAATATTCAAAAATATTTTATTACACAATTCATAATTTTTTATACAAATGTATTACAAAATAATGAAGAATTAATCAAAAACATTATTACACAAACTGCTTTGTAGAAAAATACCTCTTAAAATACTGAGTAGTAAACATGTGCCACTAAGATAGCCAACTAGCATAGCTATCTATAGACAAGTGGTAACTGTAGCCCAAACTAAATATAGTAGATTTTTAAAGTTTGTTCATTGATATTTTGATGAAAGTTGTAATAACGCTATTTAGGTTCACAACGCCATCTATTGATACTCATGGAAAATATACTAAAACTGCGAGAATGAGTTATCTCATTCATTTGTCATCGTTTTATTACAAAAAATTTGAAAAGGGAGGAGAGGAAATGAAATGCGGCAATCCCTGATTGAAGGAAAGAGTACGGCAAGATTTATAGATTGAAAAAAGAGTATATAGATAAATTATTATAAACGCCACGTCAAATATGATCACAGTCTCACAGACAGCTCATGACCACAGATAGCGTAGTATAGTGTTGCACTTAAAAAAACTTTTAAAAATGTAATATTATTGTAAGTTGTATTAAGTTACTAATTTATATTAAGTTGTATGCTGTGTTTTATTACAGAATATTTTTTTTTTTATTTCATTTGTTTATTTATTTACGGGAATTAGTTTCTGATACTTCGGTATTCGATATCTCCCCATATTGGCAAGCAATTCCCGTAAATAAGCATCTGAAATATCCCGTTTATAAAATACATATGAAGTAAAAATAACCATGGTACTAGAAGTAGATTCGAACCTATCGGTTATGTGTCACCACAGTACGGTCCTTGTGGTGACGGATTAAGAATATGGAATGTCACCGCCCCTATTTATCCCCTGGGTGTCATAAGAGCCAACATTGGGAGCAAACTAAGCAGGGCAACAGCACATTACTGGCGTGCCTACTTGTAGTAGACACGCTGTCCAGACGTGTTGGAATAGGGTTTATGTCAAGTTTTTCTTCTCTTGCAGTGCTGTTGTCCTGCGTAGTTTTATTCCTTTAGTCGGCTCCTACGACACCCACGGGATGAATAGGGGTGTCGACATTCCGTATTCTTAATCCACCACAACACGGATACTAACGGATCCACATGCTAACTTAATATATACGAATTGCGGTACGTAAACATATTTTTACATCATGGAAATTTAAAATGATAGATTGTGTTGCGTTTTGCAAATTTGAACCAAAGTACTAGAAAGTTCAATGAATAATCCCTAGAAAATTAAACTAAAAGCATTGATTTTTGCAACTCAATCCAAAATTCTTGTAAAAAACAAAGAAACCACCTAAAAACGATTTAACTGTCAAAAGAAGTAAAAAAAGAAAAGGCAACGAAAAGATTGGCAATTCTGAATAGAAGAAACAAAATCGAAGAGGAGAAAAGAAATTGCGGGCTCAAAAGCTGTTGAGATTGGTAGGAAGCTGTAACTAGCATGCTAGATAGGACAGAATAATGCTAGCATTACCCATGTTTGATATGTCACTAAAATTATAACCCAGGCTGAATATTTTTTTCCTATGTTCAGTATAGATAAAGTTTTGCACATTAATATAGTACCAATTACAACACATGAATTAAAAACCCAAAAAATAGGGTGAAAACTTAAGGTGAAAAGTAGATTTCCTAAAATTCTGAAGTTATTTGAAAGTTAAAGCAACACTGAGGTTGATGCAGCTTTTAACTCGGGGTTAGTTTTGTGTAGTCGGGACTTCCGACAAGCTCCATTTTCAAAGGGGTCAAGAATATATATTGGGGTAGGTCCTGGACCACCCTTGAGACTACAAGAATCAGCACTTACAGATAAATTAAACTCAACTGTGCACTAATGCGAAATAGGCCTTTGTTCCGCAGGCGAGAGTATCACTCGAGGCGAGGCGAGAGTGATACGCTGATGATGATGATGTGCACTAATCACCTACCCCCTACGACAAATACGTCGTACTCGGGGTCTGTGTTTATGAAAGCTTTATTCCAGTGCCAATAAACACAGAGATATTTTTGAAGTGAAAACTTCTTTCGGCGCGTTGGGCATTTTTGAACAACAAACAAAATAATGTATTTTTGGAGATGGGAAAAAAACCATTGAACTCGTGACAGTGTTACCGTTACTGACACCTTTGATATAAGTATCTACATATACTCGTATTGGCCCTGTTTACACGAGCGTTGAGTTTGGGTTGAAATACATTGATAATATAACTATATGTAAAATAAACACATTATTGTATGCACCACGATATATATTCATGTGGGAACTTTTCGAATCGAAATAATCATTTGTTTTATCCTATTATACTTAAACAAAAAAATATAAATTTTCAAGTTTTCACTTCGGCACTCCTGTAGTGCTACTACGGCTATAAACATGTTGCGTTTATTGCAGCACTTGTGGAAATAAAAAAATGTCCGTGTTTTTTTTTTAATGAAGATAGAACACCTGATGGAACGTGACTAGTTTTTTTTTTAATGAAGATGTGAACGTGACTACCGCCGCCCATGAACGCAACTGAGGAGGCACAAGTGCGTTGATGACCTTTTAGGAAGGAGTACGCTCTCTTTTTGAAAGTTTGAAGTATCGGTCCGGAAATACCGCAGACGATAACTTGTTGCACAGATTGGTTGTGCGAGGTAAAAGGTGTCTTGAAGAGTGCCAATTATCCAAGTGGCAGGGATGAAATTTTGCCGTGGGGAACGATGGCGGAAATTACGGCGGTAATTAGTCCAAACAATTCCTCGGAGCACTCTTCATGATATATACGATAGAGAATGTAGAGTGAAGTTACATCTCTACATAGCGCCAAGGGATCGAGCCGATCGGAGATATTTTGGCTATCGACAATTCGAGTCGCTCTTCATTGGATGCGGTCCAGAGAGAGAAGCTGGTATTGAGGTGCCCCTGCATAGAGATGAGAACAGTATTCCATATGCGGCTAGACTAGCACCTTATAGACTTGGAGGCCGGAGTGAAATACTGCCTCGACCAGTTTATCACACCGAGCTTCTCGAGGATAATTTGACTTTATCCTCTAAGTGACCCCGAAACTGGGCGTCACTCGATATTTCGATGCCTAGGATCCCGATTCTGGCTGAGGCAGTTAGGGAGGTGCTCTCGAACGGAGATCATACAACAAATGGACTAGATTTAATCGAGTCCAATCTGTTTTGAGCACTAGAGTTACTTTTATAAACACACACCACGTAGACATCTAGTCTGTGCTAGACTTCCCTTCCTTCCCGGAAGGATTCCTTTGGATTCTCGATCATTTGGCAGTACAGCATAAATACTAGAAAATAGGAATAAAGCAGTAGACTTGTGAGTTGACACGGCAGTTGTGTAGATTCCGCTTTAACAGGAGCAGTTAAAAAGAACATTTTAAGAACAATTGATGACCCTTTGTTAGCTCTCGTATCACAGGACGGACATATCGGTACAAGACCACTTTCTCGTCTCTGATTGCAATATAACTTACCCTGGAGCTTTTACCCTGTCAGTATTACTTACCCCAATTATGCTTATTTCCTCTTCCCGTCTGAATAAGATTGCATTCTTAAGGAGAATAGGCGTTAAGCAGGTAGACGGGTATGAAAGAAATCAGTTAAAGTCAATGTTACACATAGGACGAAACCAAAAATGCAATTGGGAAAATCGCAGAATCCTTCTGCAATTTCTCTAGAATGAAGATGAATTACGAAGAATAACGTATGTTGCGAATGTTCAAAGGTAGCGATTTCCACTTACCACCAGAAGGTTCAAGTACTAATTGGCTACCTTAGTTAAATTATCGCGTATCACCACCAATAACAGATGTGTCTTGTGTGTGTGATTGTCCTACAGTCGTTTAATATTCCGGAATTGAATTCGAATTTGAACATAGTAAACAACAACACACACGGGAAAAAAAAATGATATTCTGTCATTCTAAGTCTAAAATGGATTTGACGTTAGTGACATCCAAAATCTTAATTTTGAAGGATATGAATTATGTCGATTGTACACAGTTACTTATCCTTCTTCACTATTAGCTCTTTTCTGTTATATTTAGTAGTAATAACCATAGTTGCCGTAACCGCATCCGCATCCACAGCCCATAGCGGGAGCTGCCATAGGAACTGGAAAAAGGAGACAAGAATAAGACTACCTATCCATACTTCCATACTTCTTATCTTACCAAAACTATGGCGAAAGATTGTATGGATGTTTGTCACACTTTCAAGCAAAAACCGCATAAAGGATCTGGATGAAATTTAGCGCAGATATAGATTATAGTCTGGAATAGCACATAAGTGTTCTTGTGGGATTTTACTCCACATCCTATTTTAAAACAAGGGTTTTGGAAACGTAAAAAGTACAAATCCACAAAGAATGATTTTGCCATAATTACAAATACTTATTCTCCCATATTACGTAATAATTTAACCATTTCAAATGTATCGTTTTATCTATGTTACCAATCGTAACGATAGAAATTCGTTTGAATTACAGCACAATTGCAAATAATATAACATCATAGCAAATAACCAACATAGCGTTTAGCGTTTTTATCATCAGCAACATTATAAATGTAAAATTAAACTGCATTTTCCTGCCGCTTGTCGATGGAATGAAATTTCGAGTTATTTTTTATCGTCTTCTATTGAACAAAGGCATGATACTATTGGAGATCGCATAAAATATCGATAGATCGCGTCATAGTAGGTAACTACCACCGCCCCTGGACATGAGCCTCCCCCCTCCCCACAGAATTAGAGCCACGATAGGGAGGTTAGGCCTCCGGTAACGGTACAAACTCGAGGAAAAACAGCAATAGAATTGTTTAACACCGGTTTCTGTGAACACTTCAAAAACATACATATTATATATAGAAAACACTCGAACTTCGAAACAAATATTTGCAGATCATACAAACAATTGGTCCGACCCGGGAATCGAACCCGAGACCTCAGCATAGCAGCTGCATAAGCCACCACTGTGACTATAGTCTATATAAAATAAATCAAATTGTTAATAATTTTGATTGATTTTCTTACCTGTAATCACATTAGGGTTGAATGGCAGAGTTTCGGACAGGAGGCTGCTAACGGTAAGTAGGGAGAGAGTGTCAGCCAGGCTGTTGGCAACACTTGGTTGAGCAATGATCGGTGAAGACACAGCGAGGGGTGCAGCTGTTCTTATAACTTGACTGAAAGCGTTCTGGAAAGAAAAAAAAAACTCTTACAAAGATTGATCATAAAGACTTTTAACTATTTGAAATCATATTTCTACACTTTGCCCAAATGTATTTGGAATCGGTACAATGCGGCAAATTGCAAGATTTGTCTGTTTTTTTTTTACCAGGGTTGGTATTACCTTTTAGAATAGAATAGAACATTTTAATTTGCAAATATGGGTAATACATGATAGGTGTTACAGTACATTGAAGCTCAACCATATTTTACCAGTGGCGTGCAAACATTTTTTGTATTAGGCTAAGAAACATACTTTTAGACTCAATCCGCAATAATATTAATTTAAAGTCTTAACATTAGGTAATAAAAATCAGTAATGACACAATAGTAAACATACAATACAAACTCCACAATAGACATCAAGATAATATATCTATAATCATAGCACTTACATTTTTTTTTCCGTTTTATCTACAGTGTAACAGAATTTTGATTCTGTTACACTGTAGATAAAACTTAATGAAATGATGAATCAAGAAATGGAGGAGGGAGCTAGAATAAGGCAGATAAATAAGTAAGTCTTGGATGGGTATCGAGACTGATGATACTTCAGCAGTTTGAAGAGAGTGCGTGCACTGATTTTGGGAGTCAACGCGACGAGGTCTTAAAATCGACCTCTATTAATTAACACTAGTTCTCATTTGAAACTTTCAAGATACTGTATTAGTTGTGTTACGTGTACCAACTCGTTATAAGAATGACTAATATTTTAGTAGGAAGTATCATTGTTGTGCTTTAAAAAACCTCAACAAGTCGATAAGCGTGCAGTTATTTGGCTATGGGGGTCTGAAGTATCAGTTCATTTTAGAAAAGGGGTCTCTTGTCCAAAATAGTTTGGGAATCCCTGGTCTAGACGTTGAGTCAGATTATAACCAATTTTTTTTTAATTTAATTTTTAGTTATTGTTTTTATTTGGTAGGTGGCAACATAACTCATAAAAACCAATCTTTTTCTGGACTGGCAATAGAAATTGATTTTTTTCGAACACAAAAGCTTTATGCCATACATGCTTAACGCTAGCTAGTTTAAAAAGTTTTGCGAATTGTGATAAAGTGAGTAAAAAAGAGTGTTAAAACGCATATTTGAAGGCAGAAGCAAATAAATAAATTAAAATTTACCTGCACGAGAACAGCTTGAACCAGGAAAAAGAGGACGGCGAAGAACTTCATTTTGACCTTTCAACCAAGTATCAATTGAATACTTAACCCTATGAATACCGCTCTATTTATATCTGTTTATTTCATCATTCTTTGTACAAATTACAATGTTTATCACCGGTGATGAAATGGTTTGTGAAGAAAATAGTGGTGTTCGACTATGTGGGGCAACCTAGCATTATGATGACATGGAAGCATGTAATTAAATATAGTTTTTCTATAAATAACCTGTATTATTGAGATCGGACTTTCATTCAATTTGACGAGTCCCTTGGTTCAGTGGTTAGTGACCCTGACTGCTAAGCCGGTCATGGGTTCGATTCCCATGGCCCCACCTAGGACAAAATATGTGTGTGATGAGCACGATCGCTTGTTCTGTGTCTGGTTGTAATTTTTCTATAATATGTAAGTATTTAGCAATATATTAGTATGTTTATCAGCAGTTTGGTTACCATAGTATAGGCTGCCTTGTTTGGGATCAGACGGCCGTGTGTGAGATGTCTTAGGTAATTATCTCTTGAGTCTAAATGCGGAAACCGAAGCCCACAACCAATACCAATACCATTATTATTCAACAGTCAGCTCTGTATTCTGCGAATTTTACCATTTGACGGACCTGTTGGTCGAGTGGTTAGTGCCCCTGACTGCTAAGCCGGAGGTCGTGGGTTCGATTCCCACCCAGGACAAATATTGTGTGATGAACATGATCATTTGTTCTGTGTCTGGGTGTAATTTATCTATAATATGTATGTATTTAAAAATATATAAGTATGTTTATCAGCAGTCTAGTCACCATAGCACAGGCTCTGCCTAGTTTGGGATCAGACAGCCGTGTGTGAAATGTGTAAGGTATATTATTATTATTTCTAAAGTACCCAGTCGACGGTAAAAGGATTGCGCCCTAGTACCCGAGTGAGCACCAACCCGTCTGGCCTGCGTGGTATAAAGGAGAATAGAAAGGAGGTTTCGGCCTAGGGAGGTGGTCCGTGTGGTGACGGATTAAGAATACAGAGTGTCACCACCCTTATTCATCCCGTGGGTGTCGTAAGAGCCGACTAAGGGAGAAAACTACGCAGAACAACAGCAGTGCAGAGAGAAGGAAAACTTGACACAAACCCTATACCAACCCGTCTGGCCAGCGTGGTATAGTAGGCCAAAACCTCCTTTCTAAGGAGAGGCTTATGTCCAGCAGTGGACTATTAAAGGCTGTTGATGTGATTCGGCCTACTACACCACGCTCTCCGTTCAAGTTTAATTTGAGCCAAACGGGAAGTAAATTTTTCCAAATAAGAAACTCCAAAACGATTTTAAATAACAAACATTGAAAAAAATTGAGGACCTACTTCTTTCTTTGAAGTCGAGTAAAAGGAACATAGAATTTTTTAGCCTTGAAATATTATCGGAAAGCAGTTTTTTGTTCATTTCTGGTTGTGTGTCATAAATGGAATTTATCGTGGTGATGTCCTAATTGATGTCCACTCATTATTTTTGTAATCGATCGATTCAATTTAAATAACGAAATTGCGATGTTGCAATTGATAAAATTTACATATTTAAAACATACGATTGTAATCTGTCTGTATTGTTAAATAATTATTTAATAAAGTTTGGTGTGTTTTATGTATTTTATGTATTATTAGGAAAATGGTGAAAAGAACATTAATATTTATTTTCATTATAACTTTTAACGTGAGTATTACAATGAATTCAGTATTTGAATATGATTGCTTGGTCTGTTGGTGTCGTTAGTGATCCTGGCTGCTGAGCCGAGCTGAGCAGGATATGATGAGCACTATCATTTGAATTAATATTAGACTTGGAAATTATTGCTACTTTGAAATGATATTTATTTTATGAAATGATTGGTTTTGGTTACAGCGATTTCTTATTGATTTCATCATAGACTAAGAGGAATTGCGTTAAAGTCAATCAAAATCCTTTTTATCAGATAAGGTTTATCAGAAAGGTTTACTCCTTTCCCGAGTCTGGCCCTAGCGTAATAATAAAATCGCAGTGGTTTTGTAAATCAGTCACAGTTGAGACAACGTATTTTATAAATCATATGATTTATCTTTTGTGATTGTGATTATATTCCATCCCTAATTATTTTATTACCTATTTTTAAATGTGTTGTGTGTTTTAAAGGTGTAACATGTCACATTTCACACACGGCAGTCTAATTTCAAGCATAACTAGTCAGCCCTGTCTTAGTCTATACAGTCGCACAGCAAAAGTGTCTAAAACACCCAAGATGCTGCTTAAATCATCTGATCAAGATGTTCATAGGCCAATGATGATGACGCTGATATTTCTATATAGATAAAATTTCCCTTGATACCGGACAAACAATGGTATTCATCCAACAATTCACCCACGACATCTTGCGCAAATTTAATGCTCACTAACCACTATCCCAAAAGGCCCGTGTTTACGTGACCTTAATCTCACAGCATTTTGGATGTACCCCATACGGTTTGGTTTTGTCAGACGGTACTAAACTATCGGTATTTACTTCGACAAAATTAACAATTTTATTTTTAACAATTAACTCTGATATCCTTCTCAAAAACTGTTTCATAATTGTTAAATCGCATTAAATAGTTGTTACTACATCAAAATTTACTTTCATTGAGCTCCAAATGTATCCCCGATAAGATACAGCCAGTCTATTTAAAAGCACCTCTCTAGCTGTGCCCAACTTCACACTATAATTATAGTCACGGTTCTACTTCTAAAGGCTATAGTTTGATATTACAGATCTCGTAACCTTCTTTATCGAACACTATCGATAACAAAAATAATTATTGAAATCTGACTGATAGTTTCGGTTGTAGATCGGCACAGAAATAAAGATAATTTGGCTTTAAATTAAGGTAAGGTAGAATAGGGATATTCCTTATACGCATAGATTGGAGATCAGGGTCAGCTCTAGCTCGAACGGGTTTGGATTGGATACCTGGAACTCGAACTTACGGTTACCATAAAGTTAAAACCCACTAATTGAATGATATTACTGCAGAATAAATTTCATCATTATCATCATCAACAGCTTTTCATAGTCCACTGGTGAACATAAGCCTCTCCTTAGAAAGGAGGTATTGGCCTACTATACCACGCTGGGCTTGTGTCAAGTTTTCCTTCTCTTTACAGTGCTGTTGTCTTGCGTAGGTTGCTTGCTCCCTTAATTGGCTTCTACGACACCCACGGGATGAATGCGGTGTGGGGTGGTGACATTCCGGATTCTTAATCCTTCACTATAATCACAACAATATATTAATAACAAATTGTTTTTTACAGAAAGTATCAGCACAAACAATAGATTATATAACTACAAAACCAGCTATCATCCAAGATTCAACTTTCGACGCAAATTGGGAACACCTACTGCCAACTCTAAAAATGATCACAAATACTTCAACTATAAAGAAGGAAAGACTGCTCAACGTAGTTGAATTAATAAATTATCTTCTATCAGATGACATTGAAAATAATGAATGTGATAAGAAACTGGAAAAAACTAAACAAACAATTGAATTCAGAACACCATCTCATCAAGATATTGAAAGTATCGCAGACGAACGATTGGACACGATCATCAAGAAAGCTTTCGACATTAAAAATTGTGCACCTAATGCTATAAATTTACAGAACTTTGTTCCCCAGAATAAAACTGAAGATTTTAGCAAAATACTAGTAAAAATATCGACAGCTTTGGCCAAACTAGAAGATCAGAAAGAGAAACAAAAGATCCAAAGCTCCCCAACCGTGATGGGTATGTTTCGGACTAAGAATACCTGTCAGAACAAATTAAATCCACCTTTATACGAAGCCTTAGATCCATCGCCTAAACCACAGTTAAACCAGGCTGGAATGAACACTGTGTCACAGGCAACAAGATTTACAATCCCTTGCCAACGAGCATCTGATATTTTGAAAGAAACTTCAAGCTTTGTCGTCCCAAAAGCAGCTTATTGTAATCTTCCCAAAAACACTAATTTGAACTCTAGATCCAAAAATCCAAAGTCGAATTCAGATAATCTACCATTTACGTTAGTACCTAATTCTTTTAGCTGTGTGGAAGAAGACGATTCTTTTGCTGTTCTGTTTAGACCCAAAAAGATATCTATGATGCAAGTTTATGGAAATTTGCTTAAGAAGATAGCTACCACAGTATTAGTGCCATACCATGTATCTAAGTTGTCTCTTTGAGTAGATATTGGGGTATATTTAGTTAAATATTACAAAATACACGTAATCACATTTGTTAAGAAAAATGACGTGAAAGCCTGGCTATTTACAGACCTTTAAAAGCTGACCCGCGCAACGTATCTCAAAAGGAATATTTTTTCTCGTTTTTGCAATATTTCATTGCGCTACGTTCCCATTAGTCATAGCGTGATGTTATATAGGCTTTCTCCATAAAAGGACTATCAAATTATCTTTTTAATATGAAAATTATTCTTAAAAATAATTTATTTTTATAGTTTATAATCTAGTTAGGTTAAATTATTTGTATGTAAATTAACGTTGTTAATAAAAAATGAAAGTTATTGTGTTCATGTCTTTTGTTTTAATTAACATCTTAATATCAACCAAGTCCCTGTTTTTGTTTGACAAACAATCTAACGGTTTACCTAACAGTATGGAACTAACTCCATCCACGGACACTGTGCGGGTATCTCCTCGGATACTACCCAACGTCGACGTCGTCTCGGACATCAGTAGCCAGGGAACCAGGGTACACTAGAAAAAAAGCCCTGGTACCCTGACGTATCCACGGACACCTGCATTTCAAGAGTCATAAATGTGTTGCCGGCCGTTGAGTGATCCCACCAGAATTTGGGGTTTAACCAGTTCAACTTTATAGCACACTAGTTGACCTGGGCAACTTCGACTACGTCTCTCAAAAGGAATAATTTTTCCCCGCCTCTGCAACATTTTTTATTAATGCTCGACTCCTTTTGGTTGTAGCGTGATGACATAGCCTTTGCCTTCCCCCATTAATGGGCTATGCAACACTAAAAGATTTTTTTAATTCGACTGCACGGATGGCGTAGTGGTTAAGCGGTTGCATCGCCGCTTACTACTACGCTGAATGTTGTTGGTCAGATCCCCACATGGGACGACACTTAGTGTGATTCACAAATTGTTGTTCTAAGTCTAGGTGTTCTTTGTGTCCGTTTCATGTATATTTGTGAAGTCCCCGGCAACACAGAATACATTCCTAATGCGGGAGTTGTCTATTATTAAAAAAAAAACTACTTGAGACTGGTTTGAATACGCAAGAGACGAGCCATTTTGATTTTGTTTATTTTTATAATAAAATAAAAGAACAGGCCAATAATATTTGTTATATACCGAGCTAAAAGGTAATACTAAGAACCCTCAATATAATAATAATAATAATAATAATAATAAATTTTATTGTAACAAATGATACATACAATTCAAGTGCAAGCCCTGATTCCCAAACTAGCGTGAGCTGTATATCGGGGATCAGTTCCTTCCCAAAGACATGATACAATAAGTTGTTACAATAATCACGTGGAACATACAAAGAAACATTGAAGAATACTTACAAAAGATCTTTTGTTAATTTTGCGTGTGCATGTGTGTGTGTGTGCCTCTGGTGTGAGTGTGCGTTTGAGTGTGAGTGTGCGTGTGAGTGTGCCTATGCGTGTGCGTGTGCTTGTGCAGGTGCGCGCGCGCGTGTGTGTGTGTATGTATTTGTGTGTTTGTGTATGTGTATTGAAACCTGAACTACGTTCTTACCAGCAATAAGCTTTCTACATCATCGTAGGCCAAACTGTTAAGCCATATTTTAATTATGTTTTTAATTTGGTAGTTCGATAAGTGTCTGGTTTTGTAATCTAAATTAAGTTTATTATATAGCCTTGGTGCAATGTTACTATATCGCTGTTGAGCAAATTTGCTTTTAACCCTTGGTATTGGACATTTGTCTTTTCTTTTACCCGAAGGTTGGAGAAGAGGTACAGTATGCTTGTGATATTTGCGGATACATTGATAGACAAACATCTTTCGTACGCTTAAAACTTCAGCCTTTTCATACACTAGATGAGTAGGGTGACGGAATGGTAAGTAAAGGAGTACTTTAAGAACAGCCCGTTGTGCTCTTTCGACCTCAATCAAGTATGTTTTTGCAGCTGAGCCCCACGAACATATACAGTAGGTGATTAAACATTCGGCTAGGGCTTTGTACGTTTGTATTAAAAGTGTAATGTCTGGTATAATTCGTAAATCCTTAAAAATGTAAATAAACTTCCTTAGTCGACCACTAACTGTGTTTATGTGTTTCTTCCAGTTTAATTTGTCGTCAATATTTACCCCTAAATATTTGATTTCGGTCGCCCTTGACAGCTCAGGACAACTGCAACGTGCACACAGTTCGATTGTTGATCGGTTACATGGATGACAATGTATGGATAACTGGAGTGTTTTTGGCGAAGATGCCATAGTTTTACTAAAACATAGGAATTTTGTCTTGTCCACATTTATTGATAGTAGACTATCTTCAAGCCAAGCTGTAATACGAGACATACCTTTTTCAGCTATTTGTCGTACATTCTCCCATGCATTACTATGAAACAATACCACTGTGTCATCGGCAAACATTTGTATGTCAGCACCCTGAATTTCAAATTTACATAGGTCGTTAATATATGCAAGAAATAGCGTAGGACCAAGAGCGCTGCCTTGTGGAACCCCATATGACCCCATACAGGTGTTACTGGTATGGTTTTCAACTCTAACACACTGGTATCTTTCTGTGAGATAATCTTTCAACCATAGATGTGCGTTTCCCCTAATGCCTAGATTCTCAAGGCGAGTTAAAAGGATCGGAATAGAAACGGTGTCAAACGCCTTTTGTAGGTCAAGAAATACGGCTAAACATTTATCGCCTCTGTCAACGTGAGATGTAATATTAGATGTTAGTTGTAATACAGCGTCATCAGTAGAGCGATTTGCTCGAAAGCCGTATTGTTTCATACCAAGCAGTTTATTGCTTTCCATATAACTTATTAAACGCTTGTTCATTATTTTCTCAACTACTTTAGAGAGGGTACTCAACAGTGAAATAGGTCTATAGTTCGTGGGAAGATGCTTGCTTCCTGATTTATAGATGGGGCAGATAAATAAATTAAATACTTGGCGTGCGGGCTTAAATATTTTAGGGAAGATGCCTCGTTCGAAGGTTAAGTTGGTCAAGTAGGATATAGGTTTGGCGAGGTAAAAACGAAACTTTTTCAAAAAGGCAGCTGTTATTTTGTCTAAACCTGGAGCACTATGTGATTTAAGGCCACTTATTACATCAATCACCTCTGCAGGGTCCGTTAGGTGTAGTGCCATGGAGTGTAACGGTTCATTTGTGATTTTTGCATTTTGAGCTAGGGTTGTCTCATCAGTATTTAAGTTTTGCAGAATTTTTTTAGCAAGGTTTGAACCAACCGATGAAAAAAACGCATTCACATCATCTAGCGATCCAGTTACATCAGTGTTTATGTTAAGCAATTCAGTAGGCGATGCCTTATTCTGTTTCATGTTACATAATTCCTTAATCGTGTTCCAAGTTTCCTTTATATTACCTTTGTTTTTGTTAAGTTTGTCCATGTAGTAATTTGTTTTCAACGTTTTAATTACCCTTTTTAATGTATTTCTATACGCTAGGTATTTATCTTTTATTTCTAGATTATTGGAATTTAATTTTACTTTCTTATGCATTCTATCTCGTCTACGTATAGATTTTATTACACCTATAGTTATCCAAGGTTTTAAAGGTTTGTTACGCTTTGAAATTTTGTCAACTAAGGTGTTGCTGTTTATAAAGCTTTCTAATTTTTCAGTCAGTATTACGGCAGCTTGATTAACATCGGTTACAGAGTATAGATCACTCCATGATTCCTTCTCCATGCATTTACTTATACCACCGATATCAATTTTGCTTATATTAATATGTTTATTTTGCTTAGAAATGGGCGTATAATCAATATGCAGTAGAATGGGTGAGTGATCCGTTAATTCCTCAAAAACAAATGTTTGTACTTTTGCAGTTGCTTTTATCATAAAATGGTCAATACATGTATTTTGTCTAGTGGGACAATTAATTCCCTGCTTCAGACCGTGGCTTGCTGTTAGATTTAGGTATATTGCAGAATTAGCATTAAGATTATCTGACATTATATTCAAATTTAAATCACCAGTCAAAATAAGTACTTTATTCGAGCTACATGTTTTTAAGATATTATCTAGTGAATTTATATAAGTAAGCGGATTTTTAAAGCAGGGTGGACGGTAGGTGCAAATAATACATATGTCATCCGCAATATTCACCACAATACAGTTTCCTTCAGAACATTGGGGTTCAAATGAATACGCCTCAAACACTTCCCGAACATAAACTACAACACCATCGTTTTTGTTCAACGAAACATTTGATCGGAACATTCTGTAGTTATTTATGTTTGGCGGTAAAATTTGTTCATTAGTCCAACATTCTGTTAAAACAATTACATCTACGGGTTTAGAAAATTTAAGGAGAAACATAAGAAAAATGTCGAAATTTGCTTTTATACTTCGTATATTAACTGTTAAAACTAATAAGGAGTCATTGTTGGAACACTTTATCATTTGTAAACATTCAGTAGGATCACTCAATTTTCTGCACTCAATACTTTCTCTGTCGATCTCATTTATTACTGTAGTACTTATAGAATTGAATTTTATTTAATATGAAATACTATGACACTGTTCAAAATAATATAGGGTAGTTTGCAAATATATGCGCAACAGACATTCGAGTAATTTATAAAAGTAATAGTCAGTAGGGTACACGCTGTAAGTAAATAGTTAAGTATGTTTATCATAGATGTAACATTTATTAGGTTTATATTGTGAATCGATTTGCTTACTGCATACTCATTTCTGTTAAAGTCGTTTGGCAAGTATATTTTTAAGAAATTTGAATTCCTTTTATATTTCGGTGATGTTACGATATGCAATGTATGTAATAAGAAAGTGACGTATTTGGGTATTTGTTTATATTGTTTTTGAAACATTAGTTTTGTAGAAATAAGTAGGTCATGTAATGAGTTGTGGATGTAGTGGAAATGAGATTTAACTGTGTGCGTGTGATTATAGGTGTGTATTTTACAATATATTAAAATCAAATAAGAAACTAAAAATACGTTATA